AAAAAAAAAAAAAAAAAGAATCTTTTTAAAGTATCATGAGGAGGAAGAACTTACAGTTACCCATTGAGCCACGGTAGATAAAGTTTCCTTATTGAATAAGAGATTTTTCAATCGTGCGAGTGGTCCTTCGGCATCGACCGCTCTACACTTTAAAAATACGTCGCAGTAACCCTAAATGATAAATCGATATATTTGTATAAAAGTTATACATCATATATCCTACATACATATATAAAGTTAGATATATAAACTTATGTGTAACAATATTCCTTCTTATACATTTATCTTCTTTTTTTGCTCCTTTCAAAAGTAATAGGATTAAACCATGAAAAAAAAAAAAAAGAAAAGAAGGACAAAAAAGTTACCTGAAAGTTGTCACATGGTGAGCCAGGTCTCAAACTGATTCCACCATCGGGTAGGCCAACGACTTGAGCAAACTCGCTTGTACTTCGACAAGTCGATGGATCGGTACCATTCTGGCAAGCAAGCTCGCAAAGTTTTCGTTTGTCTATGTTTGGAATGATGTTGCTCGTTAAAAAACACTCTGTCATATTCCATTCAAGACAAATGGATCCTGTACACTCGCCGTTGATACATAGCTACGAAGGAAAAAGAATTTAAATATAGCTTTTTATTATCTTTCTTTTTTTTTTTTTTTAGATTTTTTTGTTTTGTTTAACCCTTTGAGTGTTATGAACACATTTATGCGTATGATTACAGTTTCCAGAGTGGATTATTGATATTTATATACGTGTTTGTTAATATAAATGCAAAGATATTGTTTGATGTATTGATTATTGTTTTGAATTTTGTTCATTTGAAAATTATGTAAGAAACATAATTTGGTTTTATACGGTTTTTATACAGTATAATATAATATATTTATAATATAATATAATTAATATTATATAATATTAATAATATATAATATAATATATATTATATGATATAAAATTATATAAAATTATATTATATTAATTATTTCATTATATAATTATTATAATATAATTATAATATATATAATATAAAATATTATACACAATTATTATGTTATATATATTATAATATTATTATATATTATTATATAAATTGTAAAAGGAGTGTAACCCTTCGGGGAAGCAGTAAAATGTATCTATATATTATTACATATTATTATATAATTATTATAATATTATATATATTATATAAATATATAATATAATAAATAAATTAATTATTTAATTATATACATATTAATATAATAACTCAACTTTATAGTTATTAAATATTAGATATGCTTTTAGTAAAATATTAATTCAGTCCTTAATAAACATTTACTCAGCTAAGAGTATTTACCATTCAAAGGATTAAATATAAATTAGAATTTCAAAAGAAAAATATCTTTATATACCTGTGTTCCTTCGTTGCATCTTGTTTTATTGGCTCTTGGCAATGGTGCAGGACACTCCGATGATTTTCCATTACACGTAGAATTATAACTGCAATCGGATTCTGTTTTACATTGAACGTTGTGAGAGTATGGTACGAATTGGCACGTATCGCTAGAGCAACAAGGTCCTTGACTGGGACTAAAAGGACAAATTAGAAAAAAGAATCAAATAATAAAAATCGTATGAAAACAAAATATTATTAAATGATGACATTTTCTCAGAGAAAAAGTTGAAGTTTGAATAATAATGTTAATTATATATACATATATATATATTATGAGTAATTTATTTGTATTTTTTTTTTTACCTGCATTGTGTACCGTATTTTCTACTACATCCTTTAGCAGTTTCATTTTTAATCTTAGCCAATTCCGACACTTGTCTAGGATAACAACATTTATCAACGCATTCATCGTCGTCGTAACCACAATCGCATTCCTCGCCAGCTTCAACAATTTTATTACCACAAAATGCACCGGCGGAAGCTGTTGAAAAATTTTCAATGTTAATGTTTATTATTATTATTATTATTATTATTATTCATATTTCTAATTTTTATTCTTAACTAGTTCAAATTGCGACGAATCTTGTTGAATTATTTTCATTTAGGTTGTTGAGTATAATTAAAACAACAACAACAACAACAAGTGTCATTTGGATAAAAAAGAATTAAAATTACATTTTGGTTTCTTTTTTTTTTTCATTTTCATAGATTTGATATCTCGTTAACACGTTCCGTGCCACATGTACCACCGGTGGGGTACACGTTAAATTTGACTTCTAAGCCACGTGTACTACCGGTGGTACACTGATTATACAAATATATTTAATACGTTGAAAATTAAATGGCCTGAACGACAAGTCAAGCAAAAAGGGTTTGACACATGGAACGTGTTAAATAAATTATTAAAAATTATGCTTATATATTTTTTTTTTTTTATAATCAATTAAGATAATACAAAATGAAATATAATATGTGATTATTTGTTTACCAGTAAAACAATTCCTTTTCTTGTTATCTTCAATAGCATCCAAAACGTTGCTGATATTACCGATGCTACATCTTGAAAATTTGCTGTTGTTAGGCCGATCACCGCTCGTAGCAGAAGCAAACATGATGTAATTACCATTCAAACCACCTGGCCTACATTCTGGTGGAAAATCGTGCTAAGAAATATACAAAAAAATGATGATCAGAGATTAAAATATAAAAAAGCACAAGAAGTAAGACTCTAGAAATAGTACCATTACACATTTCTGATAGAGTATAGGTAAAAATAAGGACCCAATTGTTACTATTATTATGAAATTAATAATTAATCCCTTGAGTACTGAATTTTATTTGAAAATGTTTATATCAATTTCTTACTATATGGATTATATATATATATATATATATAGGTAAAATATTAATACATTTTATTTGGAATATATATTTATATTGGTGACATATAAATATATATATATTTTTTGCAACAACATTTCAATGAAAAGATATAAATTAAATATATAAATAAAAAATAGGATGACGAGTATCACTCGTTAAATGTACCCAAAGGGTTAAATGGAAAGTGTATATGTGATTATAAATTATTAATAATATTGAAAATTCCTACCGGTGATCCAAAGTTATGACCAATCTCGTGTGCCAATGTTAATTGGGAAACTTTAGGTGGTACTCTGCTGTTGTAATTGACGAAAGTTATGATACCAGTGTTTAATGATCTTTTCGTCGTTTGATACATCCCACCAACTGTTTCAGTATAGATTTTATATTTCTCACAAATACCACCTGATGCACCGGAAGCTGATGCAACCCAAGCAAGTCCAAGCGTACCCCCGGTAAAATCTCTGTCAATAATTGCAGAAAAATAATCAGAAAGAGAGAGAGAAAAAAAACAACAAAATACATAAAAACAACAACAAGTGTGTGATAAAATAACATTGTTAATTTAGGTATTAATTTATTAGATCAATTATGATTTAACCAACCTGTAAGTGAACACGTATGCGAGACAAAAATCCTCATGATTACCCAACGAGTGTAAATTCAAAAAATTACTGACGTCTATGTTTTCCATGCAAAATGGATTTGGTTCACCATAAGTTTGTTGTTGCGTGCACGCTGTATCATCGTCAATCTTAACAGACAACAAAACGTTCGTATTAATTAAATAATAAATTATATAATATTATCATCAGATAATTTTTGTACAAAATAACGTGTATAACAAATTTTTAACTAACAATCTCAAATAATTTGAATGTATTCTCTGAGATTTATATTGTTTGATTTTTTTAGAGTTTAATAGCCCAAAAAGAATGAAACGAATTAAACTAGAAAATTAGAGAAGAGTCGATAAAAGATAAGATACGATAAGATAAGATAAGAAAATAAAAAGTGAGTGAAACATTTACCTTTATCCTTTGCACTTCGAACTTGATGTTCCTGTGCTCGATTTTACCGTCGAATCTGGTGTCTCTGTAAATGTAGTTCACGGCTGTTACGTGATGCGCTATCAAAGAGAGGATTTCCTCTTTCGTTTTTTCCGCGTCGTGATGCAGCTGGAAAATCCGACGTGTAGATAGTAGTAGTAGTAGTACTAGTAGTAGTAGTAGTAGTAGTAGTAAGATGATGGATACTTTTTTATATATATATTTTTTTCTTTAATATTTTTTTTTAACAAACTTTCTTCATTCGTCAGAAAAGTAAAAGAAACAAGCAAGTCAAAGTCAAAAATAATCAAAAGAAGAACGTGAAAAAGATAAAAACGAATAAAAAAAAAAAAAAACAAAACAATGGACAATACAAAACAAAACAAAAAAATAAATAAATAAACGAAGAAAAAGATATAATTCAAACCTGTTCAGAAATATGCCGCCAAATAAGAGGATCCGTTTGTATGAACAACGAGCAGGTATTTTTATTGTCTTCCTTTGGTCTTGTTGCTCTACGTGTTCTTCGATGATTATTAGGTTCGTTAGCTTCTCTAGAATATTTGTGTCCAGGTGTTTCTTGTTCACCCTTCCACGGTTCGACCTTTGGTTTAACATTTTTTTTCAATTTAATAGGAATTGGGACATCCAATTGACCAGAATTTTGAATTTTTTCCATCCATTGGATCATTTGATTGTTAATACCACAACCACCTGAGTCACCTACAATAATAATAATTATATAAAAAAACAAACAAAAATAAAAGAATTATACGTTTGTTTTATTAATATAACAGTATAATAATCGAATTTGTTCAAAGTGTGTAATTATTAACCCTTTTGATTGCTACACGTGTGCATATAGGTGTTTGTCACATAACAATATGTTTTTATTATTAAATATGATTTATTATTATAGATTTGATTATAATGAACATTCAAAAGGGTTATAATTTGTATTATCATATTATATATATATATATAAATAAAGTATTATATAGAATATATATTATATATTATATATATAAGATATTATATAGATATATAAATATAAATAATATTATATTAAATATACTATATATATACTATATATACTATAATATATATATCCCCATTTTAGTTTTTTCTTTGAGGATGATGTTAGACGACGGAATAAACTAGATTTTACGTTTATTTTACGTTCTAACATCTTTTCTTCCCCCCCCCCATTCTCGTATACAGTTTTTTAAAAAAGAGATTCGCTTAGAAAATTTCCTTCTTCCTCTCTTTCTCTTTCTCTCTCTCTCTTTCTTCTCCTTTCGCGATGTTGCTAGTAAGTTTACACACACACCCACACACACTCATACATACAGACACATATACTCAGAGCTATTTAAATAATTACTATCCTCTTTGATAGCAACGACGAAAGCTATTAAAACTGACTACCTTTTATAGCACTTTCTATGACCATCACCTCAACACCATCATATCACTAACTTTACCATCATAACCATCATCCTCTTCCTTATATCTTTTTTTTTTCTTACTTATACCTTTATATATAATTTATTTTGTAACATATATTCTCATAAAAAAAGGGATTCCATGTGGCACATGTTTTAACATATTTTGCAATCTTAGAAACTTGGATTTAATTTCTTTTTTTCAAACTTCTTTAACTTATACATATAATAATATAATTATTTTACTTTAAAATTATATATATATATACATATGCTATATAATAATAATAATAATAATAATAATAATAATAATAATAATAATAATAATAATAATAATAATAATAATAATAATTATTATTATTATATAACTATATTATATTATATATATTAATTATTTTATTTTAAAATTATAGATGCTATATAATAATAAAAGTAATAATTATATAATTATATTATATTATATATATTAATTATTGGACTTTAAAATTTTATATATACTATATAATAATAATAGTAATAATTATAATATAACTATATTATATTATATATATAAATTATTGTACTTTAAAATTATATATATACTATATAATTATAATAGTAATAATAATATAACTATATTATATTATATATATTAATTATTTTACTTTAAAATTATATATATATATATATTAATTATTTTATTTTAAAATATTATGTATATGCTATATAAAATAATAATAATAATTTATATATATATATATAAATAATACAGAAAGAAAGGTAAAAGAAGAAGAAGAAGAAGAAGTAGAAGAAGAAGAAGAAGGGTGGATAGTTGAGATTTTAGTTGAGAAGGAGCTTTGCAAGTACTTGCTTGCATAAATAAAAACAGTAGAAAAGTAAAACGAAAAGCGGCTTCAAAAAGCTTACTTTTCCTTTACCTAGTCATCATCTACAACATCGGCTTTCGTTGAGTAGTAGTAGTAGTAGTACTAGTAATAGTAATAGTAGTAGTAGTAATAAGAAACGTTCTTGTGATGAAAACATTTATTTTTCCTACACTCTCAAACTACCACACAGTACGATTAATGTTTAAAGAACAAAATCTTCAGTATACTAACCATCCCTTATGCCTTTACATCCTTACCAACCAACCCCAACCCTCTTCTCACATATTCTCGATTTATGTGCAACAATTCGCAAAGATTTTCTTCAGATTTATTTTGAAGATTTTTTTGTTTCGTTTTTTTTATTTACAATGTTTTTTTTTTTACTTTTCTTTTTTCATTTATTATTTAATTTTTTAGGCACCGTTAAATGTTGAATGAATGAATGATTCATTGAATAAATGTTGAATGAAAATTTGGGAATGAAGTTTTTGATGATTAAATTAGAATTTTTCTCTTCACCATTAGAGTAATGCGTCGTATCGTAAGATGGCATCCGTGAAAGCCAATATAATGGCGCGTATAGTGCCTAAGAGGTTAACTATTGAATCTTATAATATTTTCCATTATATTGGCATACTTTTAGCAAATAATATATAAGCAGATATTGGTCTTTTCAATAATGGTCATTTTATTGTCGAATTAACTAAAATCCACCATAAACTTTAATGATTTTGATGTTTCAGTAAAACGACATAAGTTATCTTTATTACTATTACTATTACTATTACTACTAGTCGTTTATTAGTGGTCATGTTAATACGAATGAACATTTAGAATAATTATAGTTTATCTTAATCCTTTGACTGCTAAAGGCGTATATATACGCTCTCACAAATCCATCAATATACACGAAAGGCGTAAATATACGCCCTCTGTATTTTTTTTTACTATAACACCTTTATATTTCTGTATTACTGATTAATTTAACATGGAATTTATTGTGATATGTAAAATAGCAACTAAATATTGGCAATTATTTCAATGTCGTTTAGTTAATTGCTTTCATATTTGAAATTCGTCGTCGTCTATATTTTAATTTTATTATTTTTATAATTAGGTTAAAATTATTCAAATATCCTGTTAAAGTTATTATTTATAACTTTGTGTGTTACATTATAAATTTTGTATTATTTCTTTTATATTTAAATTAAAGATTATTATTGAAGGAATGCACAAAATAAATAAAGTAAATTAAAATAGCTTGAAAAATTACTTAAAAAAAATTTTTTTTTTTAAATTCAAATTTTTCTTTTATTTGCCATTATTTATTATCTGTTTTGGTCAGAGTAGTCAATGGAAAAACAGTCACAACGACTTATATGCGAAAATTGCGCTGTTCCTATCAATGGATTAGTTCAAGAGCGCGCCGCAATCAAAGGGCACAATACGCGCCATTATATTGGCTTTCACTTCATGCCATCTTGCGATACGACGT